GTGTTACTGACTTCGATTTTTTTTACAAATTTATTGTTTTGTTTTTTACTAATGATAAATTACCTTGTTGAAATGTCTTTTAATCATTGAACATTTTTACATCCCAATTTATTACTTTTACACGCGTTGAAAAAATAACTTATCAAGTTTCGTGATTTCACCATTCATTATCATTCTCATCCTATCTTTCTTGATAGACCATTATTTTACCTAAAAATATTTTTTGTTTGAAGAATTGAAAATAATTATCAGCATTGGGGATTTAGGAGTGTTTTTTCTTTTGAATGATTATTCTATTTTCCTAGAATTCATTTAAATAAACTATTTTTAATTCAATATAACATAAAATATTAAATATAATTATATTAAATATAATATAATATTAAATATAAACTATTTATAATTAAATAACCTTTGAATTCAGGTTTGATTAGAATAATTGGATATCAAGTTAGAGAGAGAAAATTATCGTTTTGATTTACTTTATCTTTATAATATTGTAATATAATAACTAATATTGTAATATTTCAGCCAAGAAAATATTTGAAAATAACTGTTTGTAGACCATTAACACATGCTACCAATCTATAAACGTAATCATATTTGCTGCCTGTAATCAATTGTTTTTTTTTTCTTTTATATTTAAAAAAAATTTTTACGGTGAATTATATTATGTCTGTACTAAGAATGTATGCTTGTTACAGTTTTATGAAGTATAAATTAAATCAGATTTCCGCTCCAGTTTAACAATAGTTAGTTACGTTCAATGATCGAAGGCATAGTTCAAGTGGGTACCCTATTAAAGTTGTGGCAAATTTCAATGCTGTCATGATTTAATAAGCTTTAAAATTTCTAACGGTGAATATTTATTTTATTATTTTAAATGTTGATAAAAATAAATTAAAATTAGAAATAAATCTTACTTAATTCCTTCAGTACTTAAATGCTGTAAGCAAATTACTTGTATTAAAAAGCTGGCGATGAAGGAAGAGGAAATGCTATTTCAAGATTTATTCTAGTAGAATTACAGATAAAATGTACAAGAAAGTGATTTTAAATTTCTGGGTAAACATTTAGATACAATAGTTAACTTATTCTTGATGAATTATACATAAAATGATCACGAAAGTATTTTAAGCCACGAGAAAAACATTTACATGCAATATTTAAAGTTTTTTTTATTTTTATTTCATTTGTAAATCATTGTAGTGGAATTTAAATCTTTATGCAGATACATAAAAAGTTTTCTGAATAAAGATTTAAAGTGACATTCAATAGATGTAACAGTTAAGGGTTTATTATTATTGATTTATTCTAAGGAATCGCACGTAAAACGTACAAAAAAATTCTTTTAAATTTTGGAAATTTATTGGATGCAATATAGTTAAAGGAGGAGTTCATTTTATCTTATAGGGGTGCCACCTCTATGTATTATCCAGAATCTATCTAAAACAAATCTTTGAACAATCTGTGCAGGAGGTAAGATTATTCCTATTTGAGTTCCTGGAAGTAGACCAAACACCCCTTTTCGATCATAAATTTTTTCTGCGCGTCAGTTCTTCTTTACTATTTACCCCCCTCAAAGTCCAACCCCCGCCTTGAGAAATGGATTTGTGAGAGGGCTGCTGGCCTTTCTCCATCAACCCATGAGCTTCCCCACTGATTTACTGGAAACGGGGGGGATGACACTACGACCCAGTAGGTAGTCTAAGAGGAGGATTGTATTCTTTTGGACCCTGTTTAGAATCTTGTGGTTTTTGGAATGGAATTTGTTTTTAGAATTTGCGATTGGGAATTAGTTGCAGTGATTTTTTTTTCACGCCCATGCAGTTTTTTTTTCTTCAAGTGTCGTTAGTAATGTCTTTCTTCCCATATTCCTCTTCGAACTTTATTACAGTATACTTGATGTTAGGTTATCTATTTATAATTGATAGCTGAATTAAGCTAAACTATATGAATAAAACGCGCATAATGGCACAAAACAGTCATACTTTTATTTCGATTCTATAAACAATAACCTATATCTGTGTCAAATCACGGAATCATTCTGTGCTATGACACACTTTCCTTCGCTCATTCTGTGTTTCGACTCTGAAAGTTATTCTGATACTAATATATCCGTTACTGTAATATGCTATTTCTGTTTCTATGCCATTTTTGCGCTTTATTTATGTTTATTATGCTTTTCATGAGTGGCACATAATATACCTTTTCTTCATTTCAATTGATTGCTCTTTGCAGCTTCAAACGAGATTCAGAATGGAATCTTCATTTCAATTGATTTCACTTATCAACTTCAAGCGAGATTCAGAGGAGAATCTTTATTTCAATTGATTGCATTTTGCTTCTTCAAGCAGTATTCAGAGGGGAATTGTCACCAGAAACTTGATCATTTTATTTATATTTTTTCTTCTTCCAGTCCTATGCATATATATATACTCCCGTTAAAGATAGAATATGATGGACCCTCAA